TGAAATATTAAATCCTTAGCATAATTCCTAATAGTTACCTGTAATTCTTATTGATTTATCCATGTACAAAGAACAGATTTGACAATCTGTAGCCCAAAGGGCTTAGAAAAGCAATAGTAGATGGAGTTCATCCATTAATGTTTGTGGAGATTCTCAATCATCTAAATATTTAAGGTTGCTGCCTGCAAAAGAAGGCAGTTGCAGTCACTGCCCACTTACCCCGGAGCTCTCCCCCCCCCCAAAAAAAATAATAATTTCAGAATGATTGGGAGCCAGTCTAAATGGTTTAGTCATGACTTGGGAAGAACAGCTGTCAAAAAGTCCTTCTGTGGATGGATCATTGTTCCTCTCACAATAAGTCTTTTAATATATTTTAACTAACAAGAATTATGATAAAAAATTACAGATATAAAACATATTTTAAATCTTAATAAAAATGTAAACTCTCATAGGAATAGTGATTCAGTTTAAGCTAAGTACCTAAACATACCTAGTTTTAAATACTATATCTTGAAATATTGAAGGATGTGGAGCAATTCAGTCTCCCCATGACTTCAATCCAAAATCTGTTTTCTTAATGGGAATGGATGTATTTGTCTAAATCAAATATTCTATGGATTTTTCTCAGTTTAAAAATTGGTGTAATCTAGTAGTTAGTATAAACCAGGACCCTTCCCCCCCCCCATTAATTCTGCTTTCTCTGAATGAAATGAAATTACAGTTATAACAAGCGGATAATACTAATCTACTTTTATGTATATATTTATAAAGGTTTTTGCATATTATACAATTACAAATTTGCATTATTTAAATTTAAGTTTAACTTTACAAATAAGGATCTTCTTTGTCATTTTCACTGAAGTTTGTTAATTTGTTATTTCAACTAGCTGTATATTCAGCCTGGCCAATTCATGGGCATATGCTATGCGTGGGTATGTGTACACACGCATATGTATACACAGCATATTTATATTCTATGTATAAGCATATACTGTATGTTTACTGGAGTCAATTCTCTCTCTGTTGGTAGAATATATAGTTTTAGAAAGTTTCCATATAGATAAAAAAAACTTTTTAATTTAATTTAATACACTTTACTATTTGAAAGAAAAAAAAAAGTCTGCCAGATCTCATGTTGGCCCAGTTCTGTTAATCAACAGAAAATTTCATCTTGATTGTTATTGTTATTAATCTTGATTTTCTTATCAGTATTGAAAATAAAATATTCAAATTAATTATAAATTCCACAATGAAAATTAAATGTATTTATAAATGTAAAGCCCCTAAATTAAGTAGTTGCATTTAATGTAACCACTTTCCATTCCTTGTTGAATGAATTAAGTGTGCAAGGTTTTAGACTGGGATGGAATACTGATAAATTAAGTTTTCGGTTAGCATGCACTTGCTGTATTTGTAGTTAATGTTCTCCTTAATTCTATGAGAAAATTAATTCTAGGCAGTGCTTTTTTTGTAAAAAAAAAAAAAAAAAAAGGTGCCGGAACTCACACACGTCATACAACCCGCCTTGCCTACCCTACAAGGTTCCATCCAAAAAAGGTGCCAGAACTCCATTCTGGGCGTTCTGTGACAAAAAAAGCCCTGGTTCTAGGTTGCTTCTCTCCTTGATTAGTTTCTATCCATTGCTTCTTGTTAGATACTAAGGATATATAGTGTTCAGAATCATTTTCAAAATATATGGGCACTAGAATTTGCCTGCACTTTTTCTAGCAGTTGTGTCTTTTCCCAGGAAAAGGCCTATTTATTGTATCATGAATATATAATTCATGTTATCTTGAGGTATCAAAATATGAAATACTGCAAGTTACAGTTTTATAATTGGTGTGATTGGGTCATGTACATGGAAATATTTTTCTTCCCTTAGATAGAAATGATGTGTTTGTTTATGATCTTGCTTTCAGCTTTATTTTTTCTGCTTTCCCCCCTAACTTTTAGATACAGCAGTTGATGCACTAGGCAAAACCTTGAGGCAGGAATTTGGCAGTTCTTTATCCAGAAGTCAGAGCTCAGTACAGTTCAAGGATTGGGATTTCTGTTCCACAATGAATCATAAAGGGGCCCTATTTTATTGAATTGAACTGTAGGTTTCCCTTGGCAAGCTGAACTATAAGTAGATAAATTAGCATTTAAGCATATACTGTAAAATTAAAAAAAGGTAAATGAGTCCCTGCGGCTTTTACTCTGCTAGTTGTTGCCCAATATAGGGAGGGGGCGGTGCTCATCTCCATTTCAAGGCCATTGAGCCAGTGTTGTCTGAAGATATTTCTGTGGTCATGTGACCAGCATGACATCACAGAGTGCTGTTACCTTCCCACCAAAGTGGTACCTATTTATCTACTCACATTTGCATGCTTTCAAACTGCTAGGTTGGCAGGAGCTGGGGCTAGAACAGGAGCTCACCCTGTCATGTGGCGCTTGGGTCTTGAACCTGGATTGCCGGCTTTCCAGCTGGCAAACCCAGCCTCTTAACTGCTGAGCCACTGCGCCTCCATATGCTGTAAGCATATGCTGTAAGCATATACTTCTTAAATGATTTACTATAGAAAAATTAATGAGTCCATTATAAAATTCTTTTGACTGCAATGTATGAGATTCAAGTTCTATTTATAGTAAAATCAAGATTCAAATTTTTGCACCTTTTTCTTCTGATTATGTACAGTCTATTATAGAACCATGGTGGTAGGGATGTTTTCCATCCCTCTTGTTTTGGTCATGGCCTGTTCTGATATCAGACTGTTTTTCTCATGACCATGTGAAAACGATTTCACACAATTGTGATGGATCTCAAGATCTCCCTCTTTTATCCTCAGTTGAGTAGAAAACATCCAGCAGGTCTGTTGTCCACTGATTAGATCCTTGCTTAATACTAGATCAATCAATATAAGTTTTAACAACAACAATCGCCACAAAATGGTTATGAGGCTTGCATTATTCTAACACAAAATCATTCTTTTTAAAAAAAAAATTTCCAAACTCTCCCCCATACATATACCGTGATATTTATCAGATGTTAACATACATTCTTTTTACATTCTTATATATAAGATACTTTTAATAAAATGAAATAAATACATACACATGAGTTTTGGTATTGCTCGCCCATTTCCTCTTTCACTGTATCCACACTCCTTCTTCTTTACCTTCTTTCTCCCTTTCTTCTCTTTCTTCCCTACTTCCCTCTTCTTCCTCTCCTCTTCTCTTTCCTTCACCACTCTCCTCCCCTTTCTCCCCACTTCTCCTCTTCTCCTCCAACCTTCCTACTTCCTTCTCCCCTCCTTTACTCTTTTCTCTCTCCTCTCCTATAGAAGTATATACCGAGAAGGTTAGATAAATAGAAGTATTAATGTAAGAGAAAATTAATCCTATTGTATATAATACAGATAGGGAAATTTGGAGAGAGGAGTTCCTCGGACATTACCCCTGAATTGTATCTGAAGAAGGATGAGAGGAAAGAAAGGAGAGGAGAGACAAAATCATTATTACGTATCACTCTACCTTGTCCCTCTTCGATAAGTGTTGCAAATGTAATATAGATGTAACTTGAAAATACATTGTTTTCTGAGGCCGAAGTTTGTTGTTGGTCAATCATTCAATCACTTCCAACTCATGATCCAAGGACAGAGACCAGGAGTGTTTTTTTAGTAGTTGCTCTTTCAGTTCTTATAAGTGCATGGTAGCATTTAGTTATTTTGTCTTTTATTGAGCTCTTTTTGATTGCCTTTCATTTTATCAAATGTCAGGTTTTTCACAAATAAACTTGTCTTCCCATTATGTCTTCAAAATAGCTCTAGCTTCATTATTAGTGTTTACAGTGAACAATTTGATTTTATTTCATGTAGTATTGAATTATTTGTTCTCCTTGTAGTCCAACTTATTCTTAACAATTTCCAAAGACATCTGTTTTTCTTTATTTAAACTTTCTGATGGTTGTTCTTCCACAGCCATGTATCACAACAGGAAAAATAGTATGCCAGGATGGTTCTCACCTTTGCTGTCACTGTGATGTCTTTACACATTAATATGTGGTTTAGATTTGTCAACTTTTGCCCATAATCTCCTTATTTATGGCTACAGTTACCATCTCTTTGAATTTTTGAGCTTCGGAAGATAAAGTCTTTAAAAAGCAGAAACTGTTAATTTATTAATTACAATCTTTACAATTAATGTTTTCTGTTTTTGATAAAAATGGTTTATGGAGCAAGTCAAATATTTTTGGAGAAAAAATTTCTAAGTTGGGTAATTACATCAACAAAGCTTTGCTAAACATGACTTTACATTTGTGTGGTATTTTAAAAGAAAGCATATTGATTATGATATTATAATTGAAGATTGTACAACTAGCAGGGAACTCCAATTTGATTTTATTTTCTAGTTTATGGTTTATGTATATGTAGATGTATATGGTTTCTAACAGTATCAACATGTATAATATGTTAAATCCTGCCTGGAACTGGCATATTGTAATGTAGCTAATTGTGTTACAGGTAGTCCTTGACTTACGATCATAATGGAGCCTGCCCGTTATAATTACAAGTTGTGACGATTGTAAAGCAGATCACTCACATTACTTAACCTGATTTTACAAACTTTTTTTTGCAGTGATCATTAAGCAAACACTACAATTGTTGAGGCAACCAATTGTTTGCTGTGGGCTAGTTTTGCTGAAAACTGGAAATGCCAATTTTCATCAAAAATGTCAAAACATTGCAAACAGCTGAATGCACAAAATTTGATCATGTGACTGTGGAAGGGTGACTATAAGAACTGTGGAACTGGATTGTATGTACCCCTGGAGAGATCCGTTGTAACTTTGAACGGTTCCTAAGTGACCGTTGTAACTCAAGGACTATCTGTATATCAGCCTTCCTTTTCTTTCAAAACTTTGCTCTGAAAGTTAGTATTTTTTGTTTTGGTTTAATATTTTTGACATCCTGATATATTATTTTGGTCAGCTTAGATTTATTTTACTGTTTCTTTTTTAGCACCACCAAAGTTTGCAAGAACACCTGTTGACCAGACAGGGGTCTCTGGAGGAGTCGCCTCATTCATCTGCCAAGCTACGGGAGACCCAAGGCCTAAAATTGTCTGGAACAAGAAGGGCAAAAAAGTCAGCAATCAGAGATTTGAGGTATTAGGTCCATTGTTCTGTTCCTCTGAAAACCATTTACTTTAATATTCCTTGATTATTCCCTTTTGTTTCTGAACAGGATAATTTTAAACAACAGGAATTTCAGTTTTATTTGTAAGGTTATAGTTCTTGATCCTTCAAAGATGTGCTATGATTTTTTAAATATTCCCTATTCATGTAGGAAGTAGTTATTATGTACATCCCTGTGGATTAATGGCAGAAAAATATGTACATAGTTCCTAAGGTCATCATTACAGTACTATGTAGAAACCAGCTAAAGAGTTAGAATTATGATACTGGGCATAATAAAGTTGGTTATTGTAACAGCATTAAGAATCAATTTTATCATCCAATAAGTAAATGTTTTGAGGATTGTTTTAAAAAGCAGCCAATAGTGATGTAAGGGTAGCGAAAGTAAAATAGAAGTGTTTGATCAAAAATATTAGTAATTACTGCTCCACTTTTTGTTTCCTGATGGGAAAACATGCAAGTTGATAAATAAAGTGAAGATAGATAAGTTGAAAGAATATTATGCAATACATTATGATAGTGTGTTTCCCCTTCAGAATGCCGCTCATGTTCTTGATTATTTTGCCTCTAACATCAACATGGACGCCCCTTTTTAAAATGTTGGGACTTGAAAAACCCTGCTAGTTTTTAATGAAATTTACAATTATACACCAACTAAGCAGTCAGACCAAAAACAAAACTCCACAACTCTTATGAGTCTTGTGCGTAAATGTAGCTGTAGACTATTTACTCTGCATATCATTTGGAGTAATTAAACTTTACTGGGAATTTATATGATGGGATATAATTGATAACACTTAAGAAATCTCTCTAGCATATTTTTCTGAAACTGGATTTCACTAAACTGAATGTAGTCATATTCCCCCCAGACAGAACCAATATGAAACAACATTCTTCTTCCTCCATCCTATTGGTTGCCCTTGATTTTCAGGTTGATTTACTTTTTAGATACCTTTGCCTAAAATCTTCCTTCAGCCACACTATTTACAGAATCCTACTGGCATTTTATTACATCTTTATCAGTATAACTTTATGATAAGTTGATCTCCAGATTTGGCCTCGAGATCTTTTTTTTTTTAAAGAGAGATTCCTGAAATTAAAAAAAAAGTGTTCTCAACAGCTCCAAGCTCAGCTTTATTCAACTATAAACCAACTCTCAGTTGTCTTTTCCAAATAAACTTTATTTTAATCTTTCACTGATTCTTTACAACTTGAAGAGAATGTACAAAAGCTCTCTTCAATCATCTTTCTTAAGCTCCTAATGCAGGGGTATTCAAACTTGCCCCTTTTATGACTTGTGGACTTCAACTCCCAGAATTCCTCAGCCAGGCACAGTGGCTGAGGAATTCTGGGAGTTGAAGTCCACAAGTCATAAAAGGGGCAAGTTTGAAGACCCCTGTCCTATTGTCAAATCATATGTGTTGACTGCTAGTTATTTTTTGTCTGTGAAAGCTCTGTAATAGCGACAGAGTAGCAGCCATAGATATCCTGATCCTAAAACCAGCATAGTAATTACATTTTAACCTCACTCAGAAGAATTATGAGAATCTGCAGTTCACAATATGTTATAATAAGCAAATTAACTAAACACTATGTTTTGTTATATTTCATAATACATTAGAATAATGGATGGAGAGCCACTGACATGGAGCCATAGTTAAATGCTGCATTTTCCTTCTATTCTCTCCTTTTTTTGACCAGGAACAGCATTGCTATGAATTCTCTTGATGCAAGTTTTCTTGAATGTCTATCCGTGCTCCCATAAGTCTTTAATTACACTATGAATCCTACATTTAAATCATGCTCCAGTTGCTAAAAAGAATTTAATTAAAATATGCCTGAATAATTGTTCTTTACTGGGACTGCACTGCACTTTGGAATCAAAGAGAAAATGTGTGCTTTGGAGCAGACGTGAGATTGTACATAGCACCTGTTGGCAACTCCTTAAATTAATTAAACATTTTTACTTAAGTACTTCTTTCTTCAATAAAACTATGAATTGTCACAATTCTTGATTGATGCCTGATCTTTTTCAGCTCTGGATAATTTAATTTATGTTTATTGACTAATTTATTATTAGTTATTATTAACTAATTTAATAAATATATATAATGATATTTGCATGTTTTCAGAGGAAGCATGTGTGTGTCTCCAGGCAAAACAAACATAGTGGTGGCCGTCTAGTCTTTCCATTTATATTCTCTTCTTAGATACAATCAATATTTCGTATTTGTAACTGCAACTTGTAGCACTTTAATTTATATACACAGTATCAGAAACTGTTATGCCTTCAGATTTTTGACAGAATAAACATTGTACAATCATTATTTGATAGCACGTTGTTTGCCTTCGTGAAATGTGGAGTGAAGAATTTTTTCATCCACTATATCCCTCAAAAGATTTTAGCAGAGCCTTTTTATGTTACTATTATCTTTCTATTATTTTTTATGTTAGGTCTTATTTTATCACAAGCTGAAAGAATGTTTCATGTATTGCTTTCAACATGGAAAGCATCTTTTCCTGCTCTTTCACGCATTTGTAAATAGTCTTTATAGTAGAAGTCATTTGTCAAGCAAGATTTTATAGTCCAAGGTATTTCATCATCTCATATAGTAACCAATATTCCTCAAATAAAGAGATAGGAAGGCAATTCCTCCCATATAACTCTGAAAATCAGTGAAGGTTTACATTCACAATTCAAGTAGGCCAGTTATGCCGCCCAGCTGTTCTCTTACAGCTGAGTTTCTCACAGGTGGTGCCAAGGTCAAAAGAGTCTTATCTAAGGTCTGGGCTTCGAGCCAAGTCTCTCTTAGGAAATAACAGGTTGTAATACCAAACCTTGCCACAAGATGTCACCGATGCTGTTTAAGGTTTTTTAAGTCCAAAATTTTTATAATCCTTTTTCCAATTTTATTTCTTTTTTGTAGATAAAAGCCAAAGTCTCCAATAAAAATAGGAAAAATTTTGGTCCCCAAGTTTCAGGGACATTTAATTCCCCTGGGTAGTCAGTCGCTGCTATTCTTAGAGGGTGGGATAGAAATTTCCTTCCCTCTCTCCTCACAGGGGGAAAAATACTTCAGGCAGCTTTTACAGGAAAAGAAAGTATTTAGGGTAAAGAGAAGATTGGATCTCACTCAGTTTCATCTGCGTTGCTTTCGAAGTGCTTGGTGGTAAGTTTGACTTCGGCTGTCTGCAGCCTAGTGATGGCCCATATTACTATGGCCGGTCTTTCCTCCGCCAGTTTGGAGGGCTACCCTGGATCTAGAGGAAGGGCTGCCGCCCTCCCGCAATCAAGCAGGGGTTCTCTCCTTGCTTGTTGCCCCTACAGGGCAACTTTTGACCTTTTCCAGAGTCCCCCAGAGGAGCAAAACAGAACGCGGAAGATGGAGCTTGCCTTCCAGTGGCCGCGGCGGCTGCAATGGCAAACTGGAAGTTCCTCTTTCTATTATTTTTTTATCCAGATAGAAAAATGCATGTGGCTGTTTAAATATAAAAATCTACCTATATACTTGACCTAAAATATATGTGTGTGTGTGTGTGTGTGTATGTATGTATGTATATATACACACACACACATATAGCCATTTGTCCAAAATGGTATAGGGCCGTGGTGGTGAACCTATGGCACACGTACCACAGGTGGCACGCAGAGCTCTCTCTGTGGGCATGCGCGCCGTCGTCCCAGTCCTATGCCTTCAGCTGGTTTTTATAAAACCTTTTCGCCATTTGCAAAAAAAAAAAAAGTTTCAATCAATCAATCAATTTCAACTTCTCACAGGAAAAAATAAGATCTCACAAAGTTGGAATTGATTGATTGAACTTTTTAGTCCCACCCAGTCTGCCGTTACCACCGCAGCCATGCCCATGCAATGGGCCACACCCCCAATGGGCCACGCCCACCCGGTACCCGACGATACACAAATGGGTTTTGGGTTGCGGTTTGGGCACTCGGTCTCTAAAAGGTTTGCCATCACTGGTATAGGGTTTCCTACCTGAGCAGGGGGTTGGATTAGACGACCTCCAAGGTCCCTTCCAACTTATTATTATTATTATTATTTTATTCTTTTTATTATTATTATATACACACATATATACATACATGCATGTGCATGTGCATGTGCACATGCACACAAACACACACATATGGATGTTTTTTCCCAACAATGTTAACTTAATTGATATTTTTGTATTTGCCAGACTAAAGGATCAAAATATAATTGCTAATTATATGTATGTATAGCTGTGAGTAGGATATGATTGATTATACTATCTACAAGAGAGAGATGACCAATATTGTGGTTAGATCATAGAGAACAAAAGTTGGATAAAAATATGTAATATAATAGAATCCATGTTAGTTGGTACTGAATCTTTTTTCCCCCCTTCATTTATCATAGCACGACTCCTAGAGGCATTGAGAAATCAGTAGGATTAAGAATATCAGTGTCACAGGTTCAACAGCTTCTGAATAAGTATAGGACCATTACATATGTAATAACACAATCCTGAATAGGAACTTGTCCACCTGTTGGTTGTTAAGGTGAAGACTCAGATAGGATAACCTGAAGGTAGCATTTTGAGTCAAGTTTATTTTTGAACCATTCATTCATGCTTCCGTGCATAGAATCTTACTGTTATCTATGTCTTTGTTGGATGTGGAAACATTCTCCTATATTGAAGGTATACTCAAATGTGGATATGTGTATGGAGGGTGCCTAGCTGAAAGCAACTCAGGATAAATTGCATGTGCTTTTATGCTCTACACTAACTTTGGCTGTGAAAGAGTAAATTTATGGTCTTCTGTGACAGAACAATTTTCAGTTTTCTACCCCACTGCAGATATCAAAAGTATGAGACAAAATTTATAAAGCAGTAATTGAACCGAGTTTATATAGAAGATAGATTAAGAATCTTTGGTACTCAAAGCTGGGTATTCACCATTCTGCAGTTTTGTGCCTGTTCCTGTGGTT